GAGTGATCTGTCTGAATGTGCTCAGTCATTGAAGTCAAGGATGACCTTGACGTGATGGGTTAAGGTGGATTAGCACAGATTGAGGCGTTAGTAGTGTTCTGTGGGTGACTCACTCGCTGAAGTGGTACGGTTTGGGGAACCATGTAAGCGGGGAATGCTGGATCCCCAACAACCTGCTACTTCCGGCATCAGAAATGTACATTTGCCTATATTTTTCCTTTTAAATTATTGTGGTGCCTTCGGATATTGTGTATTTGCACAACTGAAATTGACCAAGTTCATCTTTTATGCACTTGTGCCGCTTACGTTCCATTTACAAACCAAAAGCTACGTACTTAGTGGTAGCTTTATTCCTTAAATCAGGAGAATGACGCACTGTGGACTTCACATGCACATGCGGCAGATCCGAGTAAAGCTGATTTTGTTGCGGTTTAACCCGCAGAACATGAACAGCCGACCCGGTGCATTCCACCAGCCGTGGCTGTTGTTTATGTGCAACCCCTTCACGCCTTAGGTGAATGCTTTCTGTGTACGCTGGACAACAGCACTCTTGCACTGCAGTTCCTGGACGCCTTGGCTGAGACACTCATGGGTTACAGTGCCACCGGCCACCGTGATCGGAGCCTCGGGTGCCAGCTTAATTGGCAAAATTAGAGGCCTATTGAGTTGAGTTTCATTACTCACTAACCATTTACACTGAGGCTACTCAAAAGTATGCAGGTTGTCACACAAACAAAACCGAAATTAAGATTTCCCAAGTTGACTAAACTCCTTCAGTGAGACTGCAGTTTTCTGGCCGTTGTACTTTGCCTGTTGGATTTTCAATTCTTTCCTTTTTTCCGATCACTAGACTCGATTTGAAAATTGGAAATAATTGTGCGAATGATCCCTTAATCAACACGACAAAATTTCAAGATTTTTAAACCTACTTTAACAAGCTGTTTATCTTATCGTTTCAAATTAACATACCCCAAGCTGTCATAATTTTCCCACAATACAAAAATTCGATTTCCAACTCCTAGAAAGCCGATACAATTTCATTTACACAAAGTGCAAATCGGCAGCAGCAAATAGAAATATAACCCTGCTTGTTAGCTGACCCAACTGTCGTCATGTCACTCTGTGTCTCTTGTCGTGTCTGCGGCTTGACCCGAGGACTGTGGTTTGTGTTTGCACCTTGTGCAGCTAATTCCTGTCCGTGTTACTTTAGCCAGTGGCTCCAAAATGCCTCGGTTTTACACCATCGTTTTTTCCCCGTGATTCGGCAACCGCTCTGAGTTTACCCTGGGGTGTCGTGTGTCATTTTGGGGTGAATTTTATAGGGGTCACAGGATCCCATTGCACAAATGATGATTTGACGCCCTTTTAAATCTTGGCATGAGTTCGAGGGTGTTAACAAGTTATCTTCAGATTTTCCTCGCCCTTTCCATCCATAGAATCCAGAACTTTACCAATAGGTTGCAACGATAAACCAACTAGTGGTAGTATTAAATAAAATGAACAGAAAGTCTGTATTTTTCCAAACTTCTGTAATTCAGATATTCAAATTTCCCCATTCTGCTATTGTTTCTTTGATTCCTAAACCATTTGTCTTGTTATTAATGACAACCTGTTTAATCATAGCTACTCATATCAGCAAGTAGAATATTTGTAAAAGGTTTGATGGCAATCCTGACAGCCCTTAATGATCGTTTTGCTGTTAAAATCGTTAGGGATGTCTCATTTTAAAAAAAATCCCATTTCAAACCGTGATATTTTCAAAACCTACACTTATTTCTACCTGTAAACATGTGCAGTTGTAGAAAACAATTAGATGAAGTAAGTAGTGAAGTCACGCAATTTGTCTATGGGGTAGGTGTTTAAGTCACACCTGTCGTGAGGGAGTATCTTTTATGGTTGGTTCGAATCACTGGTGGAAGCGATGTTGGTATGCATACATTATTTAGTTTTTTACCAATCACACTTGAGAACATGGTAAGTGTCACACGTCTAAATGTTGGCTGAAAATACTTGAAGATAGTTTAAGGGTTCCTCTTCGTTCACAGCTCGATAATCTTGCGATCATGTAGATCTTCTGCTTCTCCGTTTTTTTAAGTTCAACTTACACTGCGTCGGAAATGACCCGCTTGTCTTGCCTTCATTAGTTCCAGGCCCCAGAATTGAACCTGCCTGTCTTGTTTTAAAAGGAAATCCCACTTAAAATGCCGGACGCCTGCCCTTTTTCACTGGTGCCGTGACCTCTTAATTGCGCAGCCAATTAAAATGGAGTGAGTGCCCCGTGTGTGTGTGTGTGTGTGTGTGTGTGTGTGTGTGTTGCTTAGACGTCCATCACTTCTCCCATAAGTAGCACATTGGCTGTGCGCATCCATCGATCGCACGACACCCTCGCCTCGAGGCATCCAGCCATAAACAAAGACCGAGTGATTAAATTACACCGCGTGTATCCTTGTTCCCTCCCCACCTCTCAGATGTTGTGCTGTGTACAGTGGACTGGGCGGAATCCATGTTGCAATGCAAACGAGTGCTGTTGCTAGACTTCGACAGGAACATCGTCGAGGTGGGCGGATGCACGACAGCAGCACAACCGATGACCTGAGAATCGCCATCACCCCACATTGAACGCAAAATCTAAACGGGAATTTAGTTTAGCACTTCGGCGCCGCTTCGGATATGAAATAAAACCCGCCGGAGGTTCTCACCTTTGGTTAACTAGGCGCTCTAGGGCAATTGTAGCCTGTGTATTTTCAACAATTCCTAAATTTCTATCGCTGAGTTACGTAAGACTGCTGGGTCACATGCGGTACGCATTTAACTAGTTCCCATTTGACTACTTAATTGTGTCAGGTGCTTTTCGGTAAGTCGTTTTGTGTTGCGTACTTAGTTTCCTTTGGGCCCAGACCATTCGAATTGTTGGGATTTCAGGATCACGGAGCTCCTCGCGGTCGTGGCGGTTTCGATCCTAAGCGATCCACGGCAGTCAAATCGCATCGTAGACAAACAGAACAGCCAGGAGGGTGTGGCGAAAATCATAAACTCAAATCAGTTCCAGTGGTCGGTCCAGGAATAGTTCGGCCTGGAAGGTGAAATAACATGTCGTCCTTTCGCATACATCTTAATTTTCACAAAAAGCTACCAAGTTGTTATGTGCGTAAAAAACTCCGAGTGGTGACTTGAAATGCCCCGCTGTTTGTCACTGGTCAAAGTTAAATTGGGTTTGATGTTTTGTTGAAAGTGGCATAGAGTGGATGTGGTCAGATGAGTGGCCCAGTCATCCACATTCTGCGTTCTTACAATCCTCCACACACTCTATTCAGGATTTACTACTACCTCCCATAGCTTATCTCTTCTGAAAACTTTTGAGGTCAAGCGTGGGAAATGAAGTCACAAGAGCAGTCAGATCCTTATGTTCCTTCAGGTGGTAGCCAAAAGGGTGTCTGCCAAGTTAACATCGTTGAATGGTTGGTGCGGGAACTAGTATCGAATTCTCCGCCAAGGTAGCACGCGCCACCTGCGCATGCCCCATCCACACACAGAGAAGTTCTGATCTGCAGGAGACATTAAAAACGTGAGCAGCGGGTAATTGAAACCGGTGCACTTTTTGCTTGCATGTCCTCGTGCCTCAGAGCCATCGATTAATTTCTTGCCCTCTGCAGACACCCTGCGAGTTTATTGAGGCGAGGCACATTCATCCAACTCTGTCCTGCGCCAACCTTTCGCCGCGTGCGCGTGTGCGCGCACCAAACATGGGAAGTGGGGACTTGACTTGTGGGGCAGGGTGGGTGTGAATGATGCAGGCACTTGCGCACGCACGAACGCGATGTGCTCGCCTGTGAAGCAGTTACCGAGTGCCCATATCTAAACCCGGTTGCCCATTATCACGACCGGAAGGCTAGTTAGCTGTGTCACTGCAAACCTGGAGCGCGGATGAGTCAAAATTAATGACTTTACTAAAAGCCCTGACGGTGGCATCAGTGTACACCAGCACATTGGTTTTAACCTAATTGTCTTTGTAACAGGTCAATCGTTGCTTGTTTAGACAACATGCTCCAAGTGAGCTTCGCATCCATGTAAGCTCTGGCTTGGTCACTACTCTAACTCATTAAGGCTGGATCAATTCCAAAAAAGGTCACGTCGTCCCATCGTACATATGCTGGGATTTCAATGTCTTGAATGGGGCCACTTCTGGTCTTTGTAGCACTGTAATAAGGAGGTCTCTTGCAAACAGGAACTTTTAAGACGAGGACAGTTGTTTCAAACTCAGCAGCTAGGCAAGGCTCCAGGCATCACAATCATCTCTGAGGAACTGTGTAGCTCCCTCAGTCGGCCTCCAGTCATGCCAAACCCTCAAAAAACAGCTATCATTGCCTGCGGTGGAGAAATCTTCTCCAGGGAGAGGTGCGGTGCAGTGTATCATTCCGGGACATAACCTTCAATGGCTTATACCCTGTAGCCAAAATCAAGATGAACCTCCCAGGTTTGGATTGGTTTAAGCGATTGGATTTCTCTGATATTCCAATCAGCCCCATTTACCAAGACCCAAGTCTCCGCCTGCTCTCATCGGCAGCCCCTCACAGCGGCTACTCCAGATATTCCGCACTCTCTCACTCACGATCGGTGACATTCAACGGGAGTCAGCCTCGGACAACACACTGAAACCACCTTTCCACTTCGTCCAAGGTAGATGGCCGAAACGTTTCCTCATGGGACATCTCCAACATTTGTCTCAGCAACGCTAGTCCCTTCGCGTTGTAGACGGCTGGACGATGTGCGGAAAACGTGTCATGGTGCCCAAATCCTTCCTCTCTCACAGATCCTTCACCAATTTCATTTTTGGCATCCCGGTGTCAGTCGAGTGAATTCAGTCGCCAGCAAACGGACTAAAAAACCAATGAATTTCCTCAATGCCAGCAGGCCGCTATGAATCCCCCGAGGATCTTTCAGCTTTCATGCCCCAGAAACAGAAGTGCCTGAAGCCTCGCCGCATGGAACTTTCCGCGCATTTTGAGGTTGGAAGTCTCGTGTGCGCTCAGGAATACCGACCAGGACGCGGCCCATAGGTCAAAGGAAAGATCGCACGGCGACGTGAAGGTGGGTCGCTATTCCTGGATGAGACATCGAAGCAGACCCCGCCGGAGACAAGGCACGGAGACAACAAGCATTCAGCAGGATTGTTTTTCAACGAACTGCCAACATAAACGGAAATCTCATGAAAACAGACATCAGACGCCAGTGGACGAACCTACATGCCCCAAACGGAGTGTGTGGATAGCTCTGTCGCAAAACGAAGTGCTAGGTTTACGAGCAGACTGACGTCCTCACAAGCGATTTATGCCAAAACGTTTCATCAAAAAATTTAAAATTAACTACTAAGTTACTTAAAAAAACACCAACAAGGGTAACTATTCAAACACCTAAATAACGATTAAGTTATCAGTTTTCATTGGACAACAAATGCGACATTCCACTTTGCGCAGCGCAATGCGTGCCCCCGCATACACACGGCCCACCACACACCCAACATCTCAGTAAACTTCCAACTCATTTAGTTTCTCAAGTCACTAATGTCCTAAGTATTATTTTCATGTATGTAGATCTATTTAAGAGGAATGCTTGAAACACAAAGTAAACATGATTAGTTGTTTTTTTTCAAACGCAGGTTTTACAGCTCCAGTTTTGCTCTAGTGGAGAATTAATGTGAAGGATCTTCCGCCCGTACAGCACTCTCAGCACACGCACCGTGATGGCCATGGACGCGCTCGTGAGGGCGGTATATTTCCGCATTTAGCGTGCGCAACGCCTGCGTCAATTAGCGTGCTCCCGTGCGTCCGTTTGTGCGATTGTTAGCGTGTTGTGGAGAAATCGCTGCGGCTGATAGTCAGAATAGGGTTGGGATTAATTACCCAATCAGTGATGAGCACGCGCGAGAACATTTTACACACAAATCGATAACTTTCAGACCATTGGGTAAAATCCACACAGCAGTCGTTCCACCAGCCTTCGTCTCTTGTTTATGCTCTGCTGGAGAAGTAAAGCAATAATCAATTCGGTGGGTTACAAATGATCGGGAGAACAATAAAGGTTTATTAACCATATCTTTGAACTGCATAAACATGCATGAAAATCAAAAGAATTTAGTGCAAACCATTCACCTCGAAAGGCTGCAGTGCTGACTTATTTCATACACCTCTGTGTGACTTAGGCGTTAGTATCACTCCCATTACTTATATTAGTAAAGGGTTCGCCTACTTTCTTCACGCTGTCTACTTGGTGTTGAATGCATTTTTTGTTACCACCAGGAAAGCCCGTCGGTATTTAACAAAACTATAGATCTATTACAAAGTCTAAACTTTCCGTGAAAAACCATAGATATCAGTGTCTTGAACGTCTTCTCCCGGTTCTCTTGAACATCTGATTAGAAATCTACCATAATCGTAATTTCCTCTTGTCTCGTTAGATGTTTTATATGTCAAATAGTTTGACAGTCTGACGAAAAGTTATTGGGTCCCTGAACAAACAGCAGATCGCCTGAAACAACGAATTGTTCTGGATTTGACATACAAATTCTAATCACAGTTGTCGAACCATCCCAGCAAGTTATCAGGCACGTAAATTTAATAATGGTTTTATTTCTTCAAAGGAATGCTTTAACTGACCAAGATACGGGGTGCCCCAAATAGTTAAGACTGGTTGACGCCATTATGATGGCCCCTGTATTTTCTGCAGTTTCGATTCAGCGGTGATTCAAGAAATGTTTATTACTCCACAAATCAGCAAGATTCCAATCTTCCTAATCAAACACACCAGCTCTTTTTCTTTAAAGCTGATGCTCTAAACTAGGCACGACATTTTTTAACTGCTGTTCTCTGTCTGAGAGGCACGGTTCTTGAAGTTTTATTATTGTAAAAGATGAGTATGGGTCAAAGTTTTAAATTTGAACCTGTCACTATCAGAAGAGACATGAATGAGATAAACCTGTGAATGATAATTGAGGATTTATGCGACTCAAAAGTCCCCATCGTACTCTATTTATGGCCATCATATAAATTCCTTCCTCTTAATTGTTCCTTATTCAAGTAGTCCACTTGCACCTTTGCTATAGGCAGTGTCCTCTGGTTTTGCTTCTGACCTCACCCAACACCACCACTTTGCCAAAGCCAACCCCTCATCATTGGGCGTCGCTGTCCTTTTGCCATCATCAGAGGAACCACAACTTTCTGCAATGGGCCTTACTAAGGACAACATTCCGAAAACAGAGAAACGTCCTGGGCATCATTTACTGATTTGTTACCAGCCCCGTTGCATTTATACTGGTCCGATTTTCAACAAATACTTAATCAGTGCTTAAACCCATTGGGCACTAAAAAACTCGTGTGTTTGGCACAGCTACTTGATTTTTCCCAGTCTCTTCTGCACATGAGGCGCGTGAGCGCATGTGTGAGGCGAGTAATACGTACGCATATCGATTGATTTGTCCACGGACGCGCGTCCGTGCACGTGCTCAAGGCAGCCAGAGGTTGCGCGCCGGCCAGAGGCAGACTGCTTGCGTGCTTGCGCGCATCAGTGGCCGTGGGGAAAATCGCACGGAGGGTGTGTTGATGTGTGTGCTCACATCTGTCTCAACACACGCCTCGGTGGTTATCGGGCTAACCATCGCTCCGTGACAGAGGTGTTCACGGATGTTAGTTATGATTGGCTGTGTCCTACTCACGAAATGTGCACTAACGTCTATCTTCGCAGCTGAGTTTTGATCACGATTGTGTGCTATCAGCCTTGTGGTAATGAATGTGATTTAAAAGCGACTGCTTTTTGCATGTGCCGGCCAGGAACTGGCTCCATTGCCTCTTCAAAATTTCGTGGAGGCTCTTCAACCTCTATAATTTTTGTGGGAAGTATTTGAGAAAAACTCAATTCGGCATTACTTATGGCCCCTCAAATCACCCTAACGCGCTCAGTCTCTAAGCAATTGTTTACTATAGAAGTAGATGTTAATTGTAACAAAAATGCGAAATAAGGCAAGGTAATCACTGTCTGACCTAACCTCACATTCCGTGGTAAAAAAACTGTCATTTGTTAATCGTGAGTTTCTTTTCAATCCTCGTTTGAGCGGCGGTCAGCTTGTTCCAGAGGTGGTAGAATGCTTGTTATTCTCTAAAAACAGTCCCTGGACCAACGCTTGTCGTGTGATGGTAGGTGTTATCGGAAACACTAGATCTCCTACCTGGTTGAGTTTTCGTCCAACAATTTCATTTGCTCTGGTAAAACAAATGATGGTGGATTGCATTCGCAACCTCTGAATGCATCAGGATTCCAAATTCCCATCTTGAGCGTGTTCCGGTGCTCTCAGACACGCCTGTATCATCGGTTTTTTAATATAATGTCCAATAGGGGTAGCGGTGTGCGAATTGTTTAGCCTTCATGTCGGGGGGATGACAGTGAGGGCGAATGGACAAAGTGGATATTCCTGTCATTCTGGCAAATGGTAGAATGCCATAAATATGGTTATTGCAGCTACAATTATTCATTTCGATGTGTTACAGTTCAGAATTTGCCAAAAACAATTGGCTTATTGTATGACTTCAAAATAATTTTTGCGCCCCTTGGTTGAGAACACCACATTGTGGGCTGATCACCTTCACGACACTAGAAATAGCAGTTCTCCAGCAGTCGTATTGAAATCCTAATGGAGAAGGTAGTTTGCCAGATAACTGATCGGGTGTTGGTACTAGTATCTATGGGCTCCAGGACCGTTCTAATGATGCTTTCTCGTCGCCAAGTCGCTCTTAATTGAGGGGGCTGTGACACCAGTGCACGTCGTGTGCAAAGCTACTGGGTGGTGGAAGGAATACTCGTGGTTTGAGGACTTGGGTTTTTGATTTATCAATGATGTAGTCAGACACACTTATTCACCAAGGCGGGCTTTATCGGGGTGGTGGCTTGAGTATTGGTCGAATCAAACTCATCCAGAGCCGATTTACTTCTAAACTCCGGTCGTAGTGAAGACCAAAACTCCCACCGCGACCAAAATTCATGACCGAAGAAGGAGGTTCGCATTAACTACTCCTCTACAATTCCACAAAGTCGCCACTCATTGGTCAAACATCGACAATTGATATTATTAAAAATACACACGACACTGAAATTATTATGGGTAGGAGCTCAGCTTGACTCATCGGCTTCCCAAGTTTTCAGCTAATTAGGACGTGTGCCGGCTGCAGTTAACCGAATGACCCCGCACACTACTTTTATCGGAACTAGTTATTACCAGTTATCGGTTAATTGCATGAATCTGTGTAGTCTGGCTGAAAACATGTGGCATAATCCCGTTCTAGAGTTTCTCGGAGTTGCGTGCGACAATTGTCTTAAGTGTTTATTCAAAAACCCACTGCATTGACTCATTAATGCTCTAATTCGTCATGCACAGTCCTTGTAACGTGTGCTCAGCCTCATAACTGCATGGGAAATACGCACGCCCAAAGATGTTCGCGCGTGTCTATTGATTATTTCGTGCGCGCGTAAGCGCGCTCGTATATGGCCATACGCCTTGTGTGTATGTTCGTTTGTGTGTGGATGTGTGCGTGTCGAGACAACGTGCGTGCGTGTGATGGCGCGCAAAAACTGGTGTGCGCACGTATGTGAGTGAGTGCTCGTCATCATCACCATCATCCCACCACCTCCTCCACACGTGGAAAGCTTCACTCTCTCCCCACCCCTTAGCCATCCACTCAACACACCACATGCCCGGCCGATGCACGATGCTGGCTGCCATCTGATTGGTCGCCCTGAGGCGACAGTGCTCAGGCGTGTACGCTCACAAACAGCGGCGTGCTGTTCCCTACTTTCACCCAGGTTCTACGCCGGCCTTTCAAAGGGCGAGGCAGGTGGACGCTCGCAGTGGGTGTGCTCAGCGTGAAAAATGAATGAATTTTTCCTGCAAGCATGCACGCACAAGTCCCGTGATGAATACAGGCATTCTCAGGATGCTAGCATCGCTGTGTAGATTGTCTTTAAGCTGCCTTTTCAACCGTACACTCTTAAGCATCTCGGATAATGTATACATCATTAAAATCCACAAATTGCCGTATTAGTCCTGACTGACACTGGCTAGATTTATTTAAACTTGCAAATACGTCCGGAGCCGCTTGACGGCAATTAGGCATCATTCCAGAGATGCGTCTAGCGACTGACCCCAGTTGTAGCGGTTTTAGTCAGTTTCAATCGAAACCAGACGATGCAAAGTGTAAAGCTGCAGAATCCCACCGACCTCCGAAGGTTGAGCGAGGCTTTAGACGCCACAAGACTAGGCATGTTACTATTTAACCAAACAGTTCGCCCATGCCAAATAGAGAAATGGGTCGATTAGCACGACTACGGTATTTCAGCTATTTGTAGACACGAAAGAGCGCTTGCCTTCCACCTGAAAACAGTGTGCAATGGAGCTCAGGATGTTGCCAGACAAGGGAAGGCTATTTAAGTCTATTAGCTGCAGCAGTATTTCACAATCAGAGTAAACACGCAAACAGGGAAATGACGATTGGTTGCAGTTTCTTCTTGTGCATAGGTGGTACGGAGCCTGTAAAGAGCGAAATTAGGTTGCGAAAACTGCGGAACCTTTTGAAATCAACTGAGAACCGCGGAAAATTGCCAAACGACCACAATTTTGTGACCTCTAAGGCGTCTTCTTTACCGTCGTTCGTTCGGATTAAGTATTAGAATTCATCCAAGATTTAGTTAAGCGATTACATTGAAGTCAAGTGCACATTAAGCGAGATGTTTAAATGCTTAAGTAAGTACAAGACGAGTTAATTTCCTGGCTGATGCATGAAACAAAAAAACGCGAGTCCGAAACCAATAAAAGTCATGTTACCAAGCGTCCCAACGGCAAAGGTAAGCCGTGCAGCATACTTTACTTGAAGAATCATCGAAGTATGAATTTCCCCAGCTATACGTTGACCCACACACGACTAGGGTTGCAAGAAAATGTAAGCAAATTTACGTTAATAGCTCCATACAGTGCGGCGTGTTGAGCTCAAATCAGTGGGGCCACACGGAACCTTGGGACCAATCACGTGTAGTGGATGCCATTTCATGCACACACACACACGCATACAAGCACCGATTGATCATTGTGGTGCTCAAGTAGCCAACTGGCGGCCGAAATGGCGCCATGTCCCTTAGGTTACCGCTCGTCCATTGCATGCAATATCCCAGACCTCAAGGCAAACACTGGGCTCCGTGTTACTAGTGTTTCCATGACCAAATTTATGCTCCAACCAGTCTAGGGCCATCAACTTAAGAGAAACGTGGATTTATCACTTAGAAGGGGTTAATAGCAGTTCATCGCAATACCAGTGAGTCACAGGCGGTGCAAAGCATGATTTTTCCCGACTTTTACTCTACGCTCATTTGCTTTTTACTTTCTCGGAAGTGATCAAAAAGCTATTTCGTTGCACAAGTGTATTTAGTTTGAGATCAGAGCCACGTGTGTTAAAAAGCGTGATTGTGAAGTACCAACCAAAACCCATCGAAAGCAAAATGAGTGGCTTCTTATCACAAATAAGTAAGCTCTTAACACGCGTACTGGGCTGGCGGCCGTGGAGGACATGCTTAAGCAAAACAACCTAACTGAATGGTATAAATCATAAAGGAAAATGTTCGTCGATGAGAAACTTAAGTAGCTAACGCCGAATAACGCCTCCCAGTGTTTAGGCTCAAGTTTAATACCTCTACTGTAGTAGTGTGGATCAGGGAATCATGATGCTAACAACTATAGCAGGTATTCCACGCTAAGTCCGGTTCCACCAGCAATTCGAGAGTGCAGGAAAACGCTGTGGGTTGTGCATAAAGTGTGGAACCCAATGGCACACCAGCTAAGCAGAAAACGCAACAAGTTCTGCACGCACGCATCGATCGATGAGAGGTGTTCACGCGTCATAAATGAACTTTTTAATCGATTGCGATTATGCAGATACAAAGCGTCAACTTTTCAGCATACGAAATATCTACCCTAGCTCACGCAGTAACAGAAAAATACAGATTATGGAAAAGAAGCACCATGGAAAGAACACTTATCTACCCGGCCCGCAAAAATTGGAAGTTTAGAACTTGATTCCAAACAAAACCGAATTCAACCTAACAGGACGGTTTTTAAAAGATGTCACAAAGGAATTCATCACATACAAGCTGACTCGCTGAGAATTTTCACACATTGGTTCAATAAACCACACCAACACGGCCCAAAAAGTCAAATTAAAAATGATTGAACGAAAAGGTGCCATTCGCATGTACGCGCTTTATGGCATTATTAGACAATGCATATTCAAATCAGCCACTGCACTCTACGGCCACATTCTAGAAATAAAAGCATCAGCGTTGATACACGAAAACCAGCGAATCGGGATATCGACTTAAAATCATAACTTTTGGCTAAGCCAGCAAAGTCACTCGAAGAACGAGTCACGCATTCGAGACGACGTACTACTTGTACCAAGATACACGGCTGTCCCGAACCCAATAGGTAAAAAACGAATGGCTGAAATGCACTTGTGTATTGAAGGGTAGCAAAAGATGAGATCAAAAGTACATTGCCTCGGCGACTTCGCTGGAATGCATATAGTAAATGCAGGTGGAATGTTACTGTCATGGTTGATACACTCATATTGCACAAAACAAAAGTATTATTGGTAATCTTACTTTCGATTAGAGATGAAAATTGGAATGTTGTCAGTCGGTCACAACAAGCAAGAAAAATACACAACTTGGAGCATGAGTATAACTCTGGTGAAAATGCGCATTGTACAGTAGACGAAATATTCAGACATTTTCAGGCTGACTCCACTCCCTCTGAAGACAGCAGTCGAACAGGGGTTACTGAATGCTTCAGTTCGGAACGGCGGAAATGCTTGAAGGTGGCCTGAGTAGGCGGTGACGGAGATGTAGGAATGGGAATCGGATCCTCAGACGATTCTGCTTCTCCTTGCGCCTCGGTAGCTGGATCATCCATGCAAAATGTGTGTTCGGAAGTGGGTGAGGCATCTCCCTCCGACATATCCTGGGGATCAAGTCCGGAAGGAATCGGTTTACCAGAAGCTTGTGCAGCTGCCACACGTGACGTATGTAAAATTGAACGCACGTGGCGCTTCTTGTCTTCTAGGCGAATAAACTTCTCATCGCAAATGTCACAAGTGTAGGGTTTCACTCCGGTGTGAAGACGTTCATGTCGCTCGCGGCAAAATTTTCGATTGAATGTTTTGCCACAATACCTGCATTTGTAAACCTTGTGAATGGACTCAATCGATGGACCGATGTTTGATGCAGAATCGCTAGATGATACATTAACGGCTGCGGAAAGGCCTGTTCGTGTTGTTGGGCTTGGTGCAACAGGAGTTAACTTACCACTACTCTTTTTGATGGGTAACTGAATGCGGATTCCACCGCTTTGCGAAATCAACGACGAGGGCCTGGAGTCACTGACCTTTACTTTCCGCAAGCAACTGTTCGAGGCAACAGGCGAGGCTCTGGCCGCTTTTTCAGCTTCAGAAGCACGGACTTGGCCACGAATATTCTCGAGAATCCGGTCAATAGTGGAGTCTGGAGATTCCTTTGATGATTGTTCGGGCTTGTTTTGCTCTGTCACCAAGGTGCCGGAGGTCGTTGTCTGAATAGGGCTACCATTTGTTTGCTGGTTCACAATATTTAAAATAGGGGCGTTTTGATCACCGTTCGGGATGACCTTTGGGCAGGAGAGAAGTATAGATCCAGGTAATGGACCGGGTGAAATTGTTGGATTTCGTGGAAGAGCACCAGTTACAGCAGCGACAGCAGCAGCAAGTGAGTTGATGTCTAGCGGTAATTGAGGCGAATCAGGAACTGGTTTCGTCTCCATGGTTGTAGTCGTAACAGGAGCGTCTGAAGTGATAGTTGTAGGTGTTCTCGTTGTGGACGAATCGGCCACTGAAGTAGGTGTTAAAGGTTTGGGACGACTTAGGCCTCGCAACAGAGCTGCAATTGCTGAGGCACTATTTGGAGTGGTTATATTCCGACTACCTGTGCTACCGATTGAAAGGATGGTGGCAGGGCCGTTATTTGCTAAGGAATTCGGGAGACTGCCAATTACTGTTAGCGTTGGCTGAAGAGTAGCAGAAGTATTTATAGGCAAATTGATTGAAATTGGCGTGCCAACGCTAGGTGATAAAGCGTTACAGCGAAGAAAATTTATACTATCACTGCTGAGTGTAGTTACAGGCTCACTTATTGAGGAGGTGGGTTGGATATCGTTCTGTTCTAAAGCTGACGTGGGTTCTTCTGGTAATACGTACGCCGATTGCGTCGTCTGAGATGATTGTAAAATAGGATTACCGATGGGGGAACTTTTCCCAGCAGCCGCAGCTGCGAAAGCGGCAGCAACAGATTTACTAATAAAAACACTTTTTGGCGGTTGTCCTGGTGTTTCACAAATAGCAGTCAAGAGACCATTAGTAGTTTGATCGCCAGATATAGGTGTCGTTGGCTGAAGGTTCTGCTTGCTAACATCAGTAAGAGGAAATGATCCCTGACTAGTTGGGGCAAGACGATGGATTAATGAACTTTGATCTGCCAAAGGTAGCCTGCAGGTAAGATTGGAGGCGAAAGGATTTACATTGGAGTTCTTCAGGGAATCACCATTAAGAGTCGTTCCAACTAATGAAGACAAAAGAGCCTGAATTGTTGCAGGTTGAGGAGTTAAAGCAGAGGCGGTTATATCGGAGTCAACATGATGGGGATCACTGGACTTATCGGATCTGGCTTTCTTCGATGGATAGACCTCATCTTCGTCTTTGTCGTCTCTCAAAAAATCAGCAGATTCGGCACCATTATGCTTAAGGACGTCATCCTTACTCATCACCTGCCGGCGAGGTTTGCTCGACTTTCGTCTTCCACGTCTTCCTCCAACTGCTACATCTACATAAGCATGTTCTAAAGAACATAAGAACCCGTAACACTTACTGTGTGATTCGGTTACAAGGTGATTTTCTTTTGAGTATGGCATGATGGAAGGCGAAACGTGACAAACATCAGCCTCTGACGGCTTTAAACCCATATTTAGAGTATAAACGGTCTCATCGGTCGAAGGAGCATCAGTGGCATCGTCAGGAGAATCAAGAGCAAAGTTGATTTTCACGAATTTTTCACTGCTTCCATCCACACTATATGATATTATACCCGACACTGCCAACTTCCTCGAAAATGATATGTGTTGCGAAAACGTATGTTGTAGCTGTCGAATCAATGAGCGGTCCAGAAACTCATCCTGATTTAAAGCCATCCAGTTCGATGCGATAACTAATCGAAATTTCAAATGTCGCGTGACCCTTGGAAAAAGTCCTTTTGCGCGTTCAAACAAACCTTTGAATGAAATATGACTATTAAATTAAGGTTCTTTGAAAAACATTTGGGTATGTTTTTTAAGCAAATAGATGAGGGCATCCTTAACACCTAGTACAAAAATGTCTGCAATGTATAGAATATTCAAGAATGATGCGTGACAACATAGATTGAACGCATTATATAGTTTCGATTTTGGAATTTTGGACACTTAATTTATGGATTTCTACCAAGCAAGTAGATAATATTGAACTATTTTTTTACTCAGAAACTGGATTTTAACTGTCAGTGTGAAAATGTCCAAGTAATGAAGTTTTCATCCTTGACTTTTCCTACTACATATTTTACTTATACCTTGACAAGGCATTCCAGATCTTTGCTTAAACAACAAAATACTTAGAAAGTAAATTGCAGTATCACTTGTGTTCGCTGTCTTAGAATTTAGGGTTTATTATGCCCCAAGTAGAAATTAGGACACAGGTTTTAACCTCATCCGTAAGTTACATTTAATGCTCAATTTCTCGGTTATTCTTGTGGTATGCATCCAGACGTTGTTTATTTTTATGTTATTAGACATATCAAGCACTTAACTTGATTTGCTTCACATCATTCAATTATGGACTTTTAATTAAATAGCATTTTGTTGAAGAATTCAACCTCAAAATCTTCCAATCATTACCTATAATTGTAGGACAAGTTGACGTTTCATTGATTTGCATATAACCAAAAGTACTGATTCACTTACGACATAGAACGGATAAATGGATTTTACTTACATCGGGAATCTCTTACTAAATATATTATTTTTAGCGCAACTTATGCAATATATGCTCTTACTTAGGTGTCCGACAACTACAACAGATGAGTGAACATTAGCAAAACACGAGTACCTCATAATAATAACACTTTAAAGTATAAAGTATGACCTAGATTTATGAGTAAAACAGGAAAAGTGCAAAAAATTACGACTTATTTTATTTTCTTTAATGCATTCACAGAGAGTTTAAGCATCGCCTATCCCCTACAGACAATGAAGCCTAGGGAAAACCAACGGTAATTTAAGGCTCGTAATTTTGCACAGAGAGAGCAGGCATCCAGCTATCAACTGACGGTTAACTTAATATTTATGATAGCTTAAACTTTGTATTGTCGGCGAAATCATCTAAGGTTAAAACCAACAAAAAGTGGTCAATCAGACTTAAATCGGGGAGTAAAATAATAAAATAGGCAGTGATCAACAATGTTTGGCTAAGTGTGTTAGGTTAGCGAAGGTATCGTTACATTTTGCCCACCATAATGAATAATAACGAATTTGTGTGAAATGAAGAAAAATGCACCTAAAAACAAATGCGTAAGCCTGAGACCAACTAATGCCTACCTTTACAAGTTCAGTAGTAATTAACTTTAAAAAATCCACCACTTTTGCTGGAAACATCTACATTTCATGCACATTATGATCAAACCCGACCGTTCTTAACTTCGCAATTATTTCTCAATAAGACATTCCTGCAAGTAAAGTTACTCCGTTGTAAGGTTCTAAAGTCTATGACACTCATAGCTGGATGCTCTAAATGTCGACTTATATGCTCTTCGTTCTGAACAGTTTTATAGATCAAGAAACGTATCTCCTCTTCAAGATTAAAAGTTGGTGGACAATGTAAAATGCCAAGCCATTTTAAGATGATAATCACAATATTACTTGACATAATAGACAGATTCGATAAGCAGATTGCGATTAACATACGCAGCATTCAAGCTCACCTTTGAATTTTGGGCGTAACTTTAGACTTGAAAATTAGCCGCATGGAAGCTTAAATACATGGTAAGTGTACCAGAACGACGGTAGAGCAATCACTTAGAGAAGCACGGTTGACGGTCGACGAAGATCAAGTAATGTTATGGTTTAAAGTGCAGACAAAACGCCAGTCCAAACAACCCTAGCAGTCACATAACTTCTGCTTAATCAATGATCTTGTCGCATATTTAGCTCAGTCCTTTGTAAGCACACAATATATTTGTTTGCTTCGTCATTCCAGTTTCCGGTAATTGACGAGCACTGAAATCGGTGACAAGTGCAGACTAGTAGCAGGCCTTGAGAACACATCCCCTGCACAATCCAATTACACAATCAGAAGCCAAAGGCGCTCCAATGCATGCTCATGAGTCACACCGGCTCAAATTCACGCCAAGATGTGCCTAAGATAATCTCAACAGCCTATACCATTCATGTCACATTAACCCATGTAAAATGGGCTGTTTAGCTATCTTAACGTTTAAGTGAACCTTTTCGGATTTAAAAACATTTTTCTTCCTAGTACCAGATCCCACTACGTTATTAGGTAATCAGAACCAGTTTTCCTTTAAGATAAATGTTCTGTAACTGCAAAGATTACTTGCAACAAGCTTCAGTAGTTAAAAGAATAACCGATCTCGATAATTTCGACACCGTGAGATCAATACTCAGAATCGTTATTAACACAAAAGGAGAGATGCTTTCCTAACTTAAATAAACAGTACAGACAAACCATAGTAATATTGAGTAAAAATATTAAACCAGTTTCTTTGCGATGAAGTAATTTTTGAGAGTCTGGACTTGCCAGTAACCAACAAGAAGTAGCAGAACGATTTGTATGGGGCTGATAACGAATATCTTCCAGCTGATGGCATTGGTGGTTTGTCTAAAGCGACTCTCCCGTTTCTAAGACAAAAAAATAAGCTTGAGAGAGGAATGAAGCGAAGTACTATTGTTTGTTTTCGTAACCTGGGCAACTAACAAGTAAAATGAGTAGTTTAAAAGTTGCAAATTAAGGGTAAATATTGTGCTACCGAAACATACACTGGAATCCTCAAAATCGCAATCTTTAAAGCCACGTCCATAGAATAGCCAATTGTGATCTAACTAAAATGACTGAAGCTCATACAGCTAAGGGAATTTAATGAGCGGCCGGTTTTTTGTGTTAACGAACAGGTCATAATTTGGGCTTATGACATTAGAGAAGGTTCCACGCAGTCGTCTTTAGTAAAACTGCTGCATAATGTCATAGAATGGCCACTTGAAAGACCGCTAAGTTGTCTTAAATACAGAGGAAAGAAAGGAGGTAAGATTAAACTTCAGAATTTCGGTGTTCCAACGTCGATGGCTTTACGTCAATTTCGGACAACAGGATACGCCTCAAAGTGAACCACAAGTTTGGTTTTTAGAATAGCTGCGGCATTCAGTGTAAAAATCTATACTGGTGAATCACTGACTATCCAAAGATTTTGAAGCGACACCAGTCAATCTTTTTAAGCACAATATGAATCTACCAACTTCCACACAAACTAGAATCCTTTTAACAGTGAGCACAAACCCCAGGATAAGCCTATTCGAGGCCTCATTAAGATACATTAAAGCACTAAGTGAGAAGACTTCTGAGAACTTTACTTTAGCAGATACCATGTCGAAATTTTTGCCAAATGCAACTTTTCAAACGAAATATCATCAGGATGCAGGCCTTGATCGGCTTTGTGTAACTGAGTTTAACGTACTTAGAAGTGGAAGGCACATTCTCTGATAAAATAAATACGAATCCAATTGCGCACACCGACAAGCGAAATAATTGTATTTCAACGATAACATAAACGGTTTCCGAAATTCTGTTTCAAATTAGCCAATTACACATATGTATGGTTAGGATTGGATGACAATGAGCGGAAACATGAGAAGCCATTCAACGCAAACCGGTATCTGCTCGAGTATGAATTCTGCAACTCCACGTCACACGTTTCAAAATTAATTTGAGGAGGCCAATAGAACAAAAGCCCTCTGACACCTTAAGCATGGCTGCCAAATTTTAAGGCTTGTGATGAACGCAAATGACAACTTAGCTTTATGGCGTATTAGGCCCTCAACAAAATGTAGGAAATCCGTTTCACGATGCTTTGAAGAAAAAGAAATTTCGGAAATGCACAACTACTAGATTATTTGACAAAACAATTTTCGGTGCATTTCCCTCAACTTGTTTCTCTAAATGCACGAGGTCAAGAACAATAAAATCAGTTAAAGCGCTACCACATATGTACACCGGCGTTATACGTGCACCGTTGAATCACACACAAAAGTACCTATGGCCTTAACTTGATAGCAAGCCGACATTACGTGTTCTGACTGATCAAAGACGAAAGACTCACGGCCTCCGATTCAATTAAGAATAAACCTTAATGCTGTTTCATAAAAGAAGGTGCAGGAGTCTATTCGTAATTAGTGTTCTAATACGACTGACGAATATAAATGTACTTGAAACGGTATATCAACTATCACTTCCAGAAAGAAAAGAGTGCAGCAACCGTGTCCGAAAGGAATATTATTTCAAATAGCTCGTGCCAATGCAGTAATGCAACGCTAATGTTGCAATTAATCAACATAACTTTATGCGGATGGATACAGCTAAATGGCAAATCTAGGTCTTTTTGGAAACCAAAATTCAACGACACTACATTGTGTGAAATAAACACAAATCTCCGTGCCTGCCTCTTTAG